GTTTGCACACACACGCGCGCGCGCGCGCGCGCGCACACACACACAACACACACACACACACACACACACACACACACACATATATATATATATTATATATTATTATATATATATATATATATATATATAATAATATGTATATATATATGTATATATATATATATATTTGATATATGTATGTGTTTGTGTATGTATGCATGTATGTATTTATGTATGCATTATGTATACATATATATATGTATGTATATATGTGTATATTCGAGTGTGCATGTGTGTGTGTGTATATATGTAATATATCTATATATATATATATATATATATATATATATATATAATATATATGTATATATATATATATATATATATATATATATATAAATAAATAATATATTATACATATATATATGAATATACATATATATACATGTATATAAATACATATATATATACATATATACATATACATATTTTTTTATATTTATATATATATATACATGTGTGTGTGTGTGTCTGTATATAAATATGCATAGATGTATATATGTGTGTGTGTGTGTGTGCATATATATTTTTACATCTATCTGCTTATATATCTACCTCTCTGTATCTATGCATATCAATGTGTATATATATACATATATACGTACATATTAATGTATAGATGGTTATACATACATACATATATTTACACATACACGCTCGCAGACAAAAACTTACATACATACATACATACATACACACACACGAATACATACACATATAAATACATAAATATATATAAATATATATGTGTATGTAGTGTGTGTGTATGTGTGAGCGTGTGTGTGTGCCTATACATATATACATTTATGCATATGCATATATATGCATACATACATACATACATATATATATACACATATATGTATATACATATACATACATACACACACACACACATATATATATATACGTATATATGTATACGTATAAATTATATATATATATATATTATATATATATATATATATATATATACATATATATATATATATATATATATATATATATATATTTCTATATACATATATATACACACCCACACATCTACAAACAATGGAAAGTGTGCACAGTGCAACAAATAGCAAGAGTCATACCGTTAGTGAGTTAGCAATCATCTCGAATACAATATGCTTCCTTGTAACAAAAATAGTTTTTCCGGCACTGCGACTCTGTGTTGTGACCAAAACAGGAGGAAAACCCTGTGTCTCTAATAAGAAGCTTGGTGATGTCTTCCTGAAGTGCCTGATTAGGCTGTGTCGTCGGCGCTTTTGAACATATTTCCCTTTTAAGTCAAAGTCATCACCTTATATATACATTCAAACTATTGTCACCACCGCACATACCAAAAGAGCCTCGGTAACGCATATCAGGAAAAGACGAAGTCGGTTGACATCAATATTACAGCACTTTATAGCATGATCATAGAACTCCATTCCAACGCCGCCATGCGTCGGGCTTTTAGAGCTGGTTATCATCTCTGAAAGGTTATCGAGCCTGAGCACATGACCTTTCAAAACAAAGACATCAACACACAAATATGGGATTTACAGTGCAAGTCATCGCCAGCTCGGTCCCCAAACGTTTTGCTGACATCCTGATCCATAAACGCCTTTGTTTGCATAAAAAAGAAGAAAAAAAAGCTAAAACGCTCGGAGGCGCAAGAGGAAAAAATCTATCGACCGTATTGTTTTACGGCACCGTGGTTACTGGGCTGTTAACGTTATAAAGGGTAGTGCGTAGTTAGCCAAAGAGAATGGGATACTAAGGATATGTTGATAGGGAGTAAGACAAAAAAAATGGTAATGGAGAAAGAGAGAGAGAGAGAGAGAGAAATGGGGGGAGGCTGACAGACTTGGGAAAAGAGCGAGAGATAAAAACACATACACAAAGAGAAAGAGAAAGAGAGAAAAGGAGAAAGGGAAAGAGAGAGCATGGGAAAGAGAAAGAGAGATAAAGGGGGGGAGGGGCAGGCAGACAGGGCAAAAGAGCGAGAGAAAAATACACACACAAAGAGAAAGAGAGAGAAAAAGAGAAAGAGAAAAAATACAGAATGAGGACAAAAAGTACAATGAGACGGAAAGATAGACAGGAACAAATCGAAAGAAAAAGGAAGATAACTTGAGCAGATTAATATACCAACAGATAGAGACGTACATGCATACAGAGACAGAAAACTAGACAAAGAGACAGGGACAAGCAGACAGACAGATAAAGGGGGACAGTGAGAGACAGAGAGAAACTGACAGACAGAGGGAGACAGTGAGAGAGAGAGAGAGACAGGCAAAATGAAGGAGAGAGAGACAGACAGACAAACAGACTCTCAGACTGACAAAGACATCCTGTAAGACACAAAGACAGACAAACAAACTAAGATAATAGTCGATAAAACCCGAAAAGTCTAGTGATATCCGCTCATTCTCTCGGTTCGTCCGCTCTCATCTCTGAATTTCCCAGACTCCGC